AATCAATCAATCAAAAAAAAAAAAAACCATCGATCAATCAATCAATCAATCAATCAATTATCAATCAATCAATCAATCAATCAATCAATCAATCAATCAATCAATCAATCATTAAAAAAAACAATCAATAAATGAATATTTATTTTTTTTTATTTTTTAATATTTTTTTGCTACCTATAAAAAACAACCCCCCTAATTTTTATTATTATTATTATTTTTTTTAATGCAGGCCGACAGCGGCCGACGTGCGCAGGCCGAGCGCGCGCGCAGATTTTTAGCGCTCGCCCCTGCTTGGGCGTGGCGCAACCGCGCATGGACTAGGGCGCGGGCCTGCGGCCTAGGATCCTGGCTGCGGACTCGGATCCTGCGGCCGCGGCCCAGGGTGCCACGTAGCGCCCACACCCCCGCCCGCATCTCTCTCTCTCTCTCTCTCTCTCTCTCTCTCTCTCTCTCTCTCTCTGTCTCTCTCTCTCTCTCTCAATCAATCAATCAATCAATCAATCAATCAATTTGATTGATTGATTAATTGATTTTTTATTTTTCCTGCTAAATAGAAGGTAAGGGTTACACGAAGATGAAGGCAGACGGGAGGAGGGGAAGGTTGGAGTATGGATCATAATACACGTTAGATTATCATCTAATTTTGCTACCGGTATATTCGTTGTTTTTTTCATGGTGGTCTCCGCAGACGGACAGGCATCTGTTGTATTCGGCGATTACCTCGCCAATGCTCTCACGGAAGATAAATACTTTCAGGAATGCCCTGAACGATACGAGTATAGCGCGACTTTGGAGATGCATAACAAGGATGAGTGTGAGCCTTAGCCTGGGTGTAAAGTGCCCTACGGTGTTCGAGGTAAGGTTCCGAACGATTCCGCACTGAAGAGACAAATTGAATGCGGCCGCTACATGACACATAATGAAGGTCTTAGCCTCTTCGGTGGACCCAAGAATGTTGCTCGGGATGTTGGAGAAGAAGGAAGCGAAACTGACTCCACTCAGGAGTGCATTTAGAAAAAGTGAGTTCAATGCACAATCAGTGCTTGAAAGTTTGTTGGAAAGGAAACAAAGGGAAGAGGTTAGAGATTGCTCTTTGTCCGATAGTGTGGATGTCAACTTCCAAGTGCTCACGTACCCTCTCACGACTGAATCGGCCATGAAGAAAATCGAAGACAACAACGCGCTTGTGTTGATTGTCGACGTGAGGGCCAACAAGAAAATGATTTCCAACGTTGTGAAGAGGATGTATGATATCCAGTGCAAGAAAGTCAACACGCTTATCCGGCCGGACGGACAGAAAAAGGCTTACGTGCGATTAACGTCGGATTACGATGCGCTGGACATCGCGAACAAGATCGGTATCATCTAAAAGATGAGAGAGAATGGGAGAGAGAGATGGGGGGATAGGAAGGAGATGCCTGTGAAATCAGGGATGCAATCCACGAAGCTAAAGGCCGACGTGGGAGATGAAATTTTGTCTGTCGTTGAGAGCCTAAGTTCGGGTCGCAGAGATACGCGCGTTCGTTCCGGCGGTGGGAGCAAGGGAGTCCGTTGCCCGTTACTGCCGCTAATCCTATTGTGTATCGAGCTTTCTATTGCCTCTACGAATTGTGAAGAGGAAAGGAAATACGAGTTTATGGATTGACCTACCGGATTGTATATCTGGCAAGCCGACGATGTGTCCAGGGTAGTTGGGAAATTGTGTTTTAGGGTTTGGAGGATGAAAGTGAAAGTGTTTGATGCGGACGGCAGTGTGTGAGAAAAACGGTTCGATTATGCGATCTACTCTGCTGCCGAGATGATTAGTGACAAGAGCGTGACAGTTTGTTGAAATCTTAAGCTGGACATTCCGTTTTCGGGAACCTAAGTCCCAATCCATAAGTGGGTTTCCCAACGGTTTTTGAGTTGGAAAGGGTGGTTGCCTCGTTTCCAAGAGAGTTTCTGGATTCTTCTCGTACTGGGACTCACTTCACGGATCTTCTCATAGCAATCTTTGATGTAATTCATCGGTCTGGTATGATGACATCATGTGTCTTGTCTTTGCCCTCGATTAAATGTGCTGTGTGGTTTTGTCGAGGATTTGAATCCTTTTTTTTTTACGCCAGTCGTTTGTGCTGTACGATGTCATTGTTAGGCCTGTATATGCCCCCAATCAAATGTAATGACTTCACGGATCTTCTCAGAGCAATCTTT